TTCCAATCTCATCTCTCTATCACATATCTGAAGCACCATCTCCCTCGCGCTCTCGTGGTCACCGAGCTCGCGTTGTCGATGTCACAAGCTCGCCGAGCTCGCCATTTCCCTCATGTTACTACGCTTTCCAAATTCGTGTGTCAGAGTTCTGTGGTAGGTGGCATTCAAGGTTAGCCTCTTTACCCTCAGCCTCCTCACCTTCTCCCTCTCTTTCTCTCATTTCTTTGATTCCCAAATATCAGAATCCCTAATTTCTTCCACTATTTCTTCAATTCCCAAATTAGACACATAAATTAGAGGATCTAAAACACAAATTTCATCCTCTTCCTCTTTTTAAGGGTTTATTGGGTAAGAATCCATTTCTAGCATTATGTTCTACTGGTTTAGCTTTCTCCACCCTTTTATCTGTATCAATGGGTTTGATTATTATGTGGATTTTGTTTTTGTTTTTTGCAAGTGTGGATTTTAGTGTGCATCTTCGTGTTTTGTACCTCTCCCCCTCTCCGTCCTCTGTTTTTTTTTTGTTCTTAGTTTCCCTTAAATAATTACTTTGTGCTTGTTCATTTGAGTGCTTCGTTTAAATCAGTATTCCAACAAGCAATTGTTTTGGTTTCATGAATTTGGTTTTCTAACTTCTTTGTGTTTGTGTTTGGGCTTGTACATTTATGTTAATCCCTTTGAGAGATGTTTGTTGTTTTTCTTTTAGAAGATGATTTGATGCCCGTTGAGCGTTGCTTACTGGGAAAATAGCGGAGTAGAACAACAAAATCAGCTGGGAAATTTGGCGTTTTGTTATTTGCTCAACAGTGTAAGTCCTTGAAAGTTGAAACTCTCATATTTTCTTGTCTCTTGTCTCTTTGATGAATTATCGAATGTAAATGTAAAAACCCATTGAAAACTTCACTGCTACAGAAAAATTGAAGGGATTTGTAGGAAGCAAGATTGAGAAAGAGACTTTAAAGCATAATCTTTAACACCGAGGAATTAATGGGTATGATTCATTTTGAACTTTTCCTGATTGATTTATGAGAACTTTTGAATATCTCTTTAAATTCTTAGATTGTTGAAGGTGTTGCTAAAAGTTCAGTGTGATTGTTTCTTACCCAGTTATAAAAATCAAGTTTTTCTTATTGGTGATATAAAGATGGAAGCAGAGAGTCAAATGAGGGAGGTAAAATATGCTGCTGATATTTGCTCTATTAGGGAAGCAGAAGCACGCATCAAGCCATTCATACACCAAACTCCTGTCTTGTCCTCTGAATCTTTGAATGCTCTTGCAGGAAGACAGCTGTTTTTCAAATGTGAATGTTTTCAAAAGGGGTGAGTGCGTGTACTTCTTCCCTAGATTGGTTTGGACTTCATTTAGTTTTCCTCAGCCAATAAGACTTCTCATTATGTGGCTATGCAGTGCTGCTTTGTTGTTGTTCATGTCCAGGGCTGCTAAAATAATTTCTCTGTTTGTCTCAGTTGCAATGTTAAGAAGATATGTTTGCAAACAAAAATTCAGACAAAACTCACTCTAGACATTTTGCAATTAAAGGCATGCGAAGACATCTCTAATTGAAAAAAGATCAATTCAATTCTCAACTGATCATATATCACTGGCAGAAAGACATCTTGAATTAAAAACATCCAAATAAACTGAAAATGAAAACAAAGAAGAGGACATAGGTTTACATTTTCTAGACTACATCACTACAGCAACAAGTTAATAGATTATATCGACTATCGACCATCATCATATGGCATTAACATCTGGATTTGCATGCTGTCATATCCACTAGTTGCACCACTGGATTTGTGTTAATGTAACTGTGTATTTAATGTGTGTAGCTAATTATGTTTATATATCTTAATTTGGTTTTAATGGAATTTTTAATGCAGGTTGCTCCAGTGCTTCTCACACTGCCATGCATATTCATTTTCCCAACTGAGTTTGCTATATGGGATTCTATTTCAGCTTTTTTATGGGTTGGTGGGAAGCTGGACTGCTTATCTCATCAGTCTGCTATAAGTTGATACAGAACTAGAAGGGAAAGAGAAAAGGTTGATTTTAGGAATCATGTAATTTAGTATACTCCGTTATTTAGGAAGTATGTATGTGATAGGAAAAAAGATTGATTAACTATGTAATAATATTGAATCTTCAAGTTTTATGAAATAAATAATTTTTGAGTGTATGTATTCATGAATAAAACAATATAGTTGGAATTCTAGTTAAAATTGTTGTAGACAACAAATTTACAATACAATAGTCGTCTTCATAGCTAATCAACGGCGATTTTTAGGCATTAATTCACATTCAAACATAATGGGAACTCTTTAGACGACGGTTTTAATGTAAATCCCATCATCTACGCATATAATCAATGACCGTTTTAAACACATTACGGTCATCTTTATGTACAATTAACGACGCTTTTTAATTAAAATACCGACATCTTTATATTTGAATGACGATGGCTTTAACAAAGTACCATCGTTTTTACACATAAATAACGACGGTTATTTATAAACCGTCGGCTTTACACATAAACAACGACGGTTTTGTCAAAAAAACTGTCGTCTTTACATCTAATAGACGACGGGGATTTACCGTCGTGGTTTTATGCATCAAAAGATGTCGGTCGATTTCACGACGGTTGAAAAACCGGATACACGACCGTGGATTACCATCGTCTATTGAGATTTTTGTAGTAGTGAACAACTATGCAATTAAATTAAGGGAGTTTCACTAAAACACCCAAAATGGGGGCTGAAATTATAAAAAAACCCAACACCCAAAACACTTTATAAACACACCCAAAACCCATCATTACACACACTCAAAACCCATTTATAAACACACCCAAAAAATATATAATTGTTGACTTTGGGGTTGATTTTGGGTGTGTTTATATGTTTAAATAGTATGTGGGTTTTTTTATAAATACATGTCTATGATTGGGTTTATTTATAATAATCTATTAAATTAATCAAAGGCTTCCTTCAAGAAAATGTTTAATTCTTCTAATTTAATTTTGTTTTTGGCCAACCATAGGATAGTTTACATTTGTTATTTTAGTTCAATTAAACTACTTTATTTAAGCCCAAAAGAAAATACATGTGCAAATTTTTTTTTGTTGCTAAACTATGATTACATACAAAGAAAAATTAAGGCCCTTAATTTAATTTCTAACCCTTGGCCACTCAAAAGTCAAGGACGGCCTTACCTCTTCACACTAACGTCTGACCGTACTTTGAACTACTCCAATTGGCCTTGTCAGGGGACCTTGAACTACTCACTGATTTCTCTCACGACAGCCTCTTCGCACTAAGAAGTAAAGTAAATATGTATTACTAAGGGATTTACTTGTCTATGTATCATTCCATTCGATCTTTTAGGTCTTTACTTTGTCTCGACGGTTATGTCACGTTATCCTTAAAGCCTATATGCGATGGATAGGCTCCTGCAACTATGACATATTTGCTTATTTGAACATAAACATAATTTTATTTCTTTTATTTCTAAATGAAAGGGAATGTTTAATTCCATAAAAGAAGTTTTTTTTTTCTTTACATTAATTCCATAAAAAATGTCATCAATTTTAATTGGTTTATTTACTTGACTGGGGATATATATCTAGCATCTCGAAGTTGTTACACCATTGCTCTCACATGAACTGTCATGGATTTTAATTGGTTTGAGAAAATAGCGACTGTATTTAATATTCGCCATGTCCATATATATGAAATCAATAATTTGAAAACTCGGGCAAAAGAACAAATTTAATAATGTGATACATATCCAAAATTAAATTAGAATACAGCGTCGATTAAGACTCATAGGCGCCACTCCACCCAATCAAAATCGATTGTCACATCTCAAGTATGAAAAAAGCGACCATGTTGAATTTTCCCACGTAAAAGTTAGACTTTTACACCCCAAATCCGTCTGAACAGTATATTATATATACTGAGGTGTTACTTTGTGTCGAGGGTCGCTATGGAAATGGCCTAATCCAGTTGTTAATTAAGCTTTGGACTTAAGTATCTTTGTTCTCAGTTATTCTTGTTCAAACTTTGACTATTCATTGCCGCCTTTTGAAAAAAATTGTTAAATCCAGATTTGATTTGTCAAAACATCGTCATTAGAGATTAGACGACCTTGATCGATGTATAATTAAGTAATCATCGAATAAGTGGTCATGAGCGGAGCGGACATACAGCTAGCGCCAAGCAAAGCAAGACTGAAAAAGCAAAAGTCGTATTCAGGTTTTACGTGGGAAAATCAACAGATACCAAACCCCATATAATTAATCTTTTTTTTTTTTTTGGTCTGAATCACGAGGTGGTTCTGGATGGGCTCCAACTATGAGTGACACCTTTAAGTCTTAACCACAATTCAAACTAATCCCCGATCACACCGGGTCGGCTCGTAAGGGGTAAAGTGCTGGCCAAAGTGGTGACTCCATACGAGAGTAGCATATAATTAATCTTTGATTACCATGCATGCCTGCAAAACATAATTATTGATCACAAAGAAAATCTATAAATTGATGGCAATTATTGTGGAAAAAGTTTTAACTTAATAATTAATCAAAATCAAGGGCCTCTTGGTGGTTCATAAAGCAATGGGTGTGTGGGGTCGTCCCTATCCTGGTCCTATTGAGCAGAAATTTCCAAGGGATGCATGGATGGATGCAAGCTCGTGTTCATTATCTCCTTGCTTTACTTGGTGTCAAAACTGAGATAAAGTCAAATAGGCGAAAGAACAAAGATAATCGCACTCTCTGTCTAGGAAAGCAAATAAATACCTTGAGAAAACGAATCGTGCATATGATGTTAATGAAATTTAATTGTTTGAATTGACTGGACGTCGGAGAGGTGATTAAAGTAACACTATCATCTCACTATTCATGAGACTTTTGAAAACTAATCAAATTTTAATACTACTAATACGGGAGGCAATGAGCTGCTAACTACTAGGCCCCAATGTGTCTTTACCTTGTTTTTTTTATATTTATTATTATTATAACAAAAGATGTAAATGGTGTATGTGCATGCATGTACTGTTGATTCAAAGGAAAATGGCTTTATCTAGTCAGCACATAGCGAATGAAATTAACAAGCACTCATTCTGCATTGGATTCTCTTTCTCAATCAAAAATGTCTATTGATCCCTGTTTCTTTTCACTTGTTTCAGAATAATTCTGTAAGGGTTAGAATCACTTATGCAGAGAAGCACTTCCCACATGCTTTTTGATATAATCACCTTAAGTGATTTTAAACGATTCCAAGGAGAAGCACATGTGAGGTGTTTTTCCTCAGAATTACTTAAAACCATTTAAAGTGATTCTCCATAAAAGTGATTATTGGCCTATCCAAAATCACTGTCGTGGACTAGTGTTAAAAATTGGCTTCTCCCCTTATTCATACGAGCTATTTCCTATATCTTCACAAGACAACAATATTGTAGCTAGTGAAAATCCAAAGTATTCAAATGTTTTGGCTATCTAAAGTCAAAGTTAACCAGAAGCATGAGATCTTTATATCACATCGTCGCAACTTATGTGGCCTACATGTCCTTATGGCCTTATTGATCACAAAGGCGAATGTGCTACTGCTTTTTGTCTGTCTGCAAATAGTTGAGTTTGGTTCCGAATCATCGCTCACCCATCCTGTAGAAAAAAAAAAACAGGAAAAAGATAAAACGAGCCAAAGTTCACAGGCATACAATAGTATAGTAGACCAGCATGAGATTTTTTTGCTTTATCAACACCATAATAGGACCCACTGTTTCCCGAAGCCATCGATATTATAACGGGAATTATTAAGTTGATAGCGTCGTGAAAATGACAACCCTAATGCGTTGATATATAAGTCCATGAAAGCTATATATATATATATATATCAACAATATTGGCCATGAAACCTACACTAGATACAAACCAATTTAATCTTAATTAACTTGAATTAGCATTAACCATCCACACGAATTTAATAAATAAAAAAGTCTTTCTTTGTTTAAAATTCTAAAAAATATGAAGATCAATGCTAAAATAATCCTAATAATTAATTAATCATAGCCATAGATGAAAATCGCCTCCACACTCTCTCACTTCCTTTTTTCTTTCTTTCTTTCTGATTTGCTACACAAAAGGTGGTTGGGGGACTTCACCCAAAATGAACAGCCCAAGACCACCATGCCTCCCCAAAAGTTTCTTTCTTTCTAAATTTACATATGTATTATTCTTTTATTTCTAAGTTGACTCGAAGTCTAGAAGCATTACACAAAAACGCAAGCTTCCAATTATCCACTGGCTATAAATACATTGGCTTTCATCGTGCCTTAAACCAAGCACTTCAAGCACAACCCATTAGGCTCCTTCGTCTTTTGCTTATTCCTTTCTTGTTCTCTCAGTTCTCGCGAACCCATTAGGCCATTAGCCATGGGCTCCTACCATGCAGGCTCATGCACTGCCACAAACATTAAAATCTCATTTTCATTATTCTTGTTTCTTGTGGGAGTAGCTTCAGCTCAATTGTCCCCTACTTTCTATTCAACATCTTGCCCCAATGCCCTGTCCACCATAAAATCAGCTGTGGACTCAGCTGTGTCCAGCGAGGCTCGCATGGGAGCTTCCTTGCTCCGTCTTCATTTCCATGATTGCTTTGTCAATGCAAGTCTTTAATTTCTCCTTTTTCAATTATTTCCCCAGTGGTTTCCAATAATATTATTTCCGGTCCTGTGTTTGTTCTATATCATGCATTTTCTTATTCCATACATTTCTATATAGATTCTCATTTCATGGAATTGGTTTTTTTAAAGATCATAAAATCAAATTCCACGAAACAAATGAGAAGATAGCTTATCAATTAAAAAAATGGATTCTCAATCACTCCTCGATTTTTATTTTCTGTGACTAGGACAGCTTTTTTATATTTTAAGATCTTGTTATTTTCTGTGACAAATGAGGAAGAAACATTTCAATTAAAAAAATGGATTCTCAATCACTCCTCGATTTTTATTTTCTGTGACTAGGACAGCTTTTTTTTTTTTTTTTAAGATCTTGTTATTTTCGTTTGCTATTGTTGTTATCTAGAATTCTAAAATGAAAGATAATCTTAGATTAATTTAAATTCTAAGTCCTACGCAATTTGTCTTGTCGACATGCAAAACAGTTTGAACCCTCAAATA